TTCCTCTGAACCTTTTACGATGGTAAATTATTGTAATATCTCTTAAGAATCCATTTCCAGAGTTGTACGGCCGAATTTTACTGAAAGTTTGCAAAAATTGTCTATTTTATGACGCTATGTTCAAAGCTGCCTTAAACCTCCCTTATAGTTACAATGTAAACTTCATAAGATCTTCTAAGGAAAGGATTCGATTAGTAGCCGTTTATCTTCTATACGGCTGTTTGTCTTTTTTTAATTAGTAAAAATTAAGTACGTGTGTTTATCCGTAGATATTTTAAAGAATTTTCAGGAACTTCAAGTATTTTATTTTGTTTACATGTCTCGAGAAGGAAAAACACCCGTCTCTTTTCGATGCGCATGACCCTACCCATCATGATTTATATACTACGTCAGTTATTTGTGTCAGTTGACGGCTCTTTCAAATTCTGATATCGAGTGCATTGGTTGGTTTTTTTCCAGCCCTTGAAAATCGGAAGGAAATTGGGTAAAGTAATCAAACTCTATTGTCACCCACTCAAAAATCTCCCGTATTTTTATGTTTTTCTCGAAAACTTTCCACTTGACAAGTTATATTTCCACCTGAAGATATGTCGAATCATACGTACAGCTCAAGCTCTTTCACGTGATTTCATAAAATTTAAACATCCTCAAATACGCAAACAATGAGTAAAAATACGTCAATCGGGCATTATCTTCAACCAATTGAATCTAACTTCCTTGCCCACTTCGTCAACAGTAATAATTTGAGTGCGGTTTCGATTGGTTGACCATTTGTAATCTTTCAGCCGAAGAGAGAAGTAGGATGGGCCAACAGAGCATTATCCACTTTAGATGAATAATGGTTCTTTCAGATCTCATAAATGCCTTTATCGTCGGTGTTATCATTAAAGGAAATCCAAATACTGTAGATAATTCTATCGATGTTCACAGCCTTCACCCTTCTTTAGTAGTAACGGGTAAAACTCACTTTACGATGAGGAAACTCAAAATTAGAACGAAATAAAAAACCATATATCACGTTTCTTTCGGTCGCAATTCTATTTAACATGTTTCAAAAGAAATATCAATCGTCTTTAACCAATCGAATAAGAATTGAGACGAATGACAGTATTATAGCATTTTTCATTCGTGTAATTTTTCCTTCTCTTTTTTGCTTACGTTCACCTGTGCGCACTTGTTGGACGCAAATCGTGTTTTAGTTACCAAAGTCGACAAGGATTGATCACAGTAAACATTTCCAGGTTTTACGATGCTGTATCCCGGGAAGTTTCCCATTTTTTCGCGAGTGGCTGGGAAGATAGCGCCGAAGCTTTCCCCGTTAATTGGAAATGATTGAATGATCGAATAAGAATTGCGATAAATTAAACAAAATTGTAGCATTTTTTAATCGTGTAATTTTTTCCATTCTATTTCTGCTAACGTTCACCTGTGCAGCCTGTGCGTACTTGTTGGAAGCAAATCGTGTTTTAGTTACCAAAGCCGACAAGGATTGATCACAGCAAACATTTCCAGGTTTTACGATGCTGTATCCCGAGAAGTTTCCCATTTTTTCGCGAGTGGCTGGGAAGATGGCGCCGAAGCTTTCCCCGTTAATTGGAAACGATTGAAGCGTAAAAAGCCGCAGGACTTTTTACACCGAAGTTCGTTTTAAACTGCGTGAGGCCTCCGGGAATTCGGGAAAAAAAGATGAAAAGCAAGAGTGGTTCCCAGAATAATCTAGCGCACGTTAGCCACGAATCGCAGATGTGACGGTAATGTATTTTTGGATTGATCTTGTCGTTTTCATGAACGCACGCAGCCATCACGACTGATTACAGCCTGGAAATGCCTTTTTGTGTCGCTTCACGAAATTGGTTACACCGTGTCCTCGCGACAAAATGTATACTCTCGTTCTCCCGATTTTTGCAGCATTTAACTCTTACAACCACGAGGGGACCGCTTGCTTTCAGTGAATTACTGAACTCATCTGCATGGCGCTCGCATGGGTTCTCACATCTGCGATCCTGGCAGTTCTCATTTTGCCTCGTACTGAGGAAAAACGACGTATCAGCATTCAAATGTTGCCAAATTTCCTCGGATAAAATATCAAGTTCTGAGAAACAGAGATTGGATATATGGTGATCGCGTCAATCGGACTCCATCTTGCAATTGGGAATCACAATTTCTGGCTCATCCGTCGAAACACGTAAGCACTTAAAGAAACTAATTATGTATACGTTGTTCCTAAACTGAGTCGGAAATTGTAGTTCCTATTTGCAAAATGCAGTCCAGTTGACTTTCACGAACATTTTTCACGTAATTTTCATAATCTACCTCACTAGCTGCACAGCTTTCATCCCAAATGCTCTACAACGGTGAATCCATCGAAGCAATTGTATTCCTCAGAGAATGCTCATAAACGACTCGACCACCAAGCAAATTGAGAAAAGTAATTGGGTTCACCTCAACCAATTGCCAAGTGTATCCCACAGCTCGAGTTAATCGCGCAATCACTTTCGTTTTTTGCCTTATGTATCCCATTTTCCTCGGATTGCGTTTTGAAAATCCGCGACCGGCAATGCGCGAATGTTTGCCTGTCGATCGCGGCGCAAGGCTCCGCAACCGTGGCGCGTGGTCACAGGTTACGTCAAGCATGCCCAAGTCGACCTATCTGTTCCCGATCTCGGCTCTCGAATAGTTGAAACGTTTTCGTCGTAGCCTATTTGTTCGGCCTTGGCATTTTCGCACTGCCTCTTGATATATTGTCGCCCCACCGCCCTCTGCCCGATTTTCGCGGTTGAAATCCAGTCGCTTGTATTTTCTCCGAGTCCTGTCAGATGGTGCAAGCTCTCCCGTTTTATCCTCCCAGGAATCTCCTCCTCCCC